ACAATAGGATTAGTCTACACCCATGTCTTTGAAAATGAACACCGCACACTTGGCATTTCTTTTTTCTTTTGGGACTGCTGAATTGATAAGGTTGAAACTCAATTTCATTGAGGGAGTACCTTAAACTATCATGACAATAGGAATAGCCTGCTCTCATGTCTTTGATGATCCCCTTTTTTAAATTTTGATATGCTTTCTAACTTATTTATCCACTGCAAAACATTTTAAAAAATTGGCTTCTAACTGAATCAGACGTTGAGAAATGTAAGAAATAAAATTCTTGGAAATTTTGGCACCTGTTTACTTGTGCTTGTATTTACTTGTGCTTGTATCAATCTGTGGTTGCTCAAAACTTTTCTTCTTAACCTCATGGAGCCTGTAGTTCTAGTGGTTAGAGTGCAATCATCTAGTTGTATTACTTATTTTCGTCCTTGTGATATTCTTGTTTTTGTCTAAAGCACTATGATATTAGTCAATGTAGACATATTACATCATTTCCCACAGCACTTTTGTTTGTTGATCTAAAATGTTGCGATAATAAAAATCTGAAGGTGTATGACACTGTGCTTTAGGATTGGGTGTTCTTAATTTAACCAACAGATTAGTGCATGTGTCTTCCATTTTCTTGTTTGGTATTTTTCTACTTCTGTAGGAACGAGATGTTCTTTTCATGTTATCCTGTTTCTTTCAATGATATATAGGGGACAAAGTGATTCGTGTAGCAGAGCAGGGACCAAAGCTTGCCGCGAAAAGTTGCGGAGGGATAGATTGAATGACAGGCATGCATCTTGTTCAATCTGCCGTGAATTTATTTGGTTCTGAATTTATCAGTTTAAGCTACTACATTAGAAAATGCAACTCACACCCGAAAGAGCATGCTATTGAAATGTTTTCAATTTGTTGAATTGGATGCTACTGATGTACTGCTGTTGTCAGAGCTTTCACAACAAATTTTCTCCTTTTTGTAGAATGGAGATAACAGTAAGTAATATTTTGAAGAACAGATTTTCCTCATGATTGCAGGTTTCAAGATTTGAGCTCTATTTTGGAACCTGGAAGACAAGCCAAAACTGACAAACCAGCCATACTAGATGATGCTATTAGAGTTTTGAACCAGCTTAAAGCTGAGGCTCGGGAGCTCAAAGAAACTAATGAAAAGCTTCTAGAAGAAATCAAAAGTCTGAAGGTAGTCACTTCCAACACACATTCAACTACAAAAACTATTATTCCTTCTACAGTTTCTGCATTGAATGGGAGTATGATCCCTTTATTTGAATGTAATATAATAGTTCAGAAACCTGAAGAATCTGACACTATTGGATTATCTACTCCTAGTATTGTTTGCAGAATTTTCTTTTGATTCTTTTAAGTCTTAGTAATTGAAATGTATTTATTTCCAAATTCCGTATTCTCTGGGAGTGGCAGCCCTACGAGTAGGTTAGTTATATCATGATCTACTGAGGATTATGAAATATTGGCAGAATTCAGTTAGTACTATCTTTTCTTCTTATTAGAAGCTGCTAATGTTTTATGTACTTTCTCCTTTTAAATTGCTGGCTTTGCATCATAAACTCTGAAGGGGCAGTCGGCTGAAATGTCTCTTTCTATTCATCACCTGCTCAAAGTAGTCCGTTGGAAACTGGAGTCCATTCTGCTATGAAATTTCCTTTATGGTCGATAATCTTGCTGCTTCTTTTTGTAATAATAAAGGAAATGGTTGCCAAAAGAGGCACACGCTAGATATAGTTGCTAATTCTTAATACCTTGTCTGTATATTCTTGGTTTTTAAGTTGAATTTAATCAATTTATATTTAAGGTGAATGATGCATTTGAATCTTCTTCGCATCACACCTGAAATTTATTCCTATAGACCTTCTGAGAATGGCTTTCTAAGTTTCCCCTGCAACAGGCTGAAAAGACTGAACTCCGTGAAGAGAAACTGACGCTCAAGGCAGATAAAGAAAAGATGGAGCAACAATCGAGAGCTGTGGCTGTTCCATCTCCTAGGTTCATGCCAGCCTATCCAGCAGCCTATCATGCTGCAGCAAACAAGATGCCAGTCTTTCCCGCTTATGGTCTGATGCCAATGTGGCGATATTTACCTCCAGCTGCTTGTGATACATCGCGTGATCATGAGCTCAGGCCACCTGCTGCATAATTCTTTTATGCTCCTCAATATCCTGATAACTTTCAGATCCTATATGCTAGAATTTTCTAAACATGTTGTCGCACATGTAAATATAACTTGCTATGCATTATACCTTATTTTGATAATTCAAATTATTGGCAAGTGTATTGCTGGAGATTGTTAGGAAGGTAGTTGGATTGCAAGTATTTGCTCGAGCAAATCATTTTATCTCCACCGTGTAATTGTATGTTAGCATTTTGATTTTTCCAGGAGCTATTAATTATCTTTCCTACGGTTTGCCAATTTTGCTAATGCTCCTGCCACAGAAGCTTGAGATATGCTCTACATTTTTATTTTTTTTTGCGCCGAACCTTTCTATTAATGAACCGGTATTTAAGAGCTTCCTGCTGAGGAGTTCGTCTTTGCACACTGATTTATTTTATGGTTTGGAACTTTTGTAGACGAATTTGGGAATATTCTGCTGTAATGCCCGCAAGCATAAGGAACTCGATGTGGTGTGATCTTGACCCTTTATACCATTTTTATTCAAGTTGATATTTTGTCCACTAAGGGGGAAAGAAGATGCACATTTTAACATGGGAATATTATTAATATTACAATCAGATCCTTTGTAATATATGAAGGAGAGGTCGATAACGAGTGCATGTACTGGAAATTCTCTCTCTGTTTTTTTTTTTATTTCAATTTGCATTTCATTTAAATACGGGGAAACATGTATAAAATTTCCGGGTGGACTCGATTTTTGCCCAGCATGTTCTTACACTAAAGCATCTCTCTTTATGCCACAACACTCTGGAATTTGAAAGGGGCTATGCATTACAAAGGTCATAGTGTACGATAATCAATTTGGAGCTTAAGGTCCACCTGCTGATACTTTACTTTCAGTTGAAGTAACTACCTGTATCGTAAGTTCCTTTTGCTCATCGTAAGCCACTCGGGATTGTTCTTCTTCTTTACTGTGAACTTGTTGATCTTCTTCTTTGCCCCACAATAGCAAATACAAGCCAATGATGACAATAACAGCGCCCAGTATGCTGCACAAGCCACATAAACATCTAGGTCATCTTTCCAGTCACTTAATATGATTCAGTTCATTTAAATCTGCTTTCCTTTGCCCCCTTTTATTACTAAGAATTGAAACTTCATAACTGCGTGCTGGTTAGGTTTATGGGAAATAATATAATGCATTTCAGGAATTCGTCAGACATGACCTGACACAAAACTAAATACCCCAAATGGATTATAGTATCAGTTTGAGTTTTATATGTAAAGGGATGTAACTTTCAAGTTAATTACCTGCCCAAGTAAAGTTTTTCACCTAGAACAAAGTATGCCAGAATTGCCACTAAGATTGTAGAGAGGGGATTGAACATGGTCACAAAGACAGGTCCTTTTTCTTCCGTGCACCACAGTTGAAAGAAGATTATTAAACCAGAGACCACTATTCCCTGCCGTATATGATCCACAATAAGAATATTGTCAGGAATATTCTAACATAAGCACGTAACTACTGTTGACCAACTCTGATTCACATGGCACTTACTCCATAGACAATTGACCAGAAGTCGATATCAAATCCGATTGTCCAAGCAGCTCTCTTATGTTGTACAGTAGCTGTGAAGACGGCTGATTGAGCAGCCCCCACAAAGCTCATCCATGTAGTCAGTGAAAGTTGTGCAGGATACCTTTTCAAAGTAAAAGCCTGCTTTTTCAAGGAAAATTAGCTACTCATTCAGGATAAAACAGATAAAACACCCCATAGTCGTCAATAGGAAATTTTATGTTTCTTTTTCTGACTAATAATTACTAAGTGAACTGCAGTTTGAGTTTGCGTCAGACCTGCATAATATACCAAATGGACCATGTTATGCAGCTTGCAACAGTAAGAATTGAACCCTTTAACCAGCTCTCATGGTTGTTTCCAGTCGTTCCTTGAATATGGATTAGAGGATGCCATAGTTGTTTCATGATAGGACCTCTATATAATGTCATAGTCGTTACACCGGCCAAGGAAACCAGAGTCCCAAGAACTTTTGCTATCCCACGAGGATTTCGAATATCAAGAACCTCCAACCTGCTTAAAGTTCACTAATATTTAGAATAACTCACTATCTATAGTGCTAGCTGGATTTCTTAGGAAGAGTAACTGTTCAGGTACTTTCAGCTTTCTAAATTATAATTATTACTGCTACTTACCTTAGTACAACTGCAATTATGAATGTCAAAGAAGCGATGGTGTTGACCATTGACGAAACGAAAGTTGGAGAGGTGTATCTCATACTTACAAAATACATGTTCAGAGCTAAACCCACCCTGCAATCATCAAAAGTCACTTTGCTCAAGTTTCTATAATTCTTCGTCTTTGTTTTAATTTTTTTTTTCAACTTCCTTCATTTGTTATACAGATGCTCATATAAGTCCTACATGTATATCTGTTCTTACCCCAGGAGAGAGAGAATGAATATCTCTACGAAAAGAGCTATCGTCAACTTCGGCCTTTGTTTTCTGCAGGAGAGACAGATTAGTATTCATGCACGCGAAACGTTCATACAAGTCAATCATAACTATCAACATTTAAATTAAGTACCTTTCAAGGAAATAGGCAAAAGGAAACATCACCACACCGGATACAATGTGTCGGTAAGTTATGTACACATTAGGATTCATTCCATGGTTGAAGGATGCTTCAGTGATAAAGTATAAGAAAGTATAGCCAATCTGTGCAAGAACCATCAGAATATGTGGCTTGAACCTTGTGCAGAAGCCCCCATTACTGCTTGCAGTCGAAGCCATTGGCTTTCTTTCCGATCCCTCCTCTTCCTCTTCCTCTTCTTCTTCTTCTTCTTCTTCTTCTTCTTCTTCTTCTTCTTCTTCACAAGCTGAAGTCTGAAAGAACACATTACACGTAGATATAGAAGATAATGGAAGTGTTTGTTTTAATTTGATTCTTGTCGCATGTTGCTGTTAGTATCATGTTCTTGATTAAATGCTCTCTGGTGTACTGGTGATTCCCTGGTTTCGTGTTTTGGATTTCGAAGATAAAGAAGGAATATTCTCTTGCATGGTTGCTCATTTCAGAGATAAGTTAACACGGAACTCATTGATTTGTGTCATGTACTTTGGTTGGTTAAATGTCATTTCAGTTGGTTAAACATCCTAAGGAGTCTTCTGTTAGCTTTTGTCATGGTAATTAACCTAATCCCAGAGAACACTTTTTAAGTCCATTACAGAATTTATGCTTTTCCTTCCCCTTTTTTTTTCGTTTTCTTCTTTATGTATAGCATATTGCACTGGTCCTGATATACAATTACATTTACAGGAACTTTATTTTGTCAGTAAACAAAATTATATAGCAAGACAAATATTATAAACTTCATGTTGATTAACACTTAAAATTATTTGCTAAACTCCCTTTTTATTTTCTACATGAACTGGACTTGTTAATCAATAAACTAATATTATAGCAAGACACTTTGCATCCAAACTATACAACCCGAACAAATTAAACACAAAATGCTTCGCATGATATTGGTTCTTATCTTTCAATGAGTGGTACAATAAAAAAATCGTCTCTGTCTCTGGTAAGTAAAATCGTTATGAGAAGAGGATAAAAGAATGTAGCAATTCTTATTCCTTCCGCTCTTAAAATTAAGCAAATTGGTCACTCGTCAGATATTCATACTACTTGGGAAATCATTCATGTTTTTATACCAAATTAGAAGGGTTGCCTATAGAATGATTCTGCATGCAATTATGGGAAAAAAGGATGTGGAATGTCACAACAAAGTGAAAGCTTTAATTTGGTTCTCGATAGCATTTGTAATATTCTTGTTTGCTTACGCCTTTTTTCTTTCTTGCCTACTATATGCCGTCAACTAAAATTCTTCTTACGATTACCTGGTGCATAAATACCAACAAGCTCTCATTGATATTTTTACCTACATTCCATATTAGTTAGAAGTAGAGGATCTAAGCAATTCATAAATCCAATATACCACCACCTCTTAAGATACCTAATTGCCTACTTTTCTTAAGAGACGCATTTTCAAGTCAAGATCCATCTTAGGGCTATGAGTACAAACGTAGAACAATAATCCGTGAAGGGCCTGTGTAATATAAAGGATTTGAGCTAACATCATAAGCGGCATCATCTGTGAAAACATGGGTTATGTGCTCTCAGCTTCAAAACCTATTTGACTATGGGGTTTTCATTGGTTAGGAGTCCAAGGCCTAGATGGCATATAAGTTCTAAGTATCATCTCTAGAGGCTTATTTAAAAAAAAAAAACTAGCTACTAGGCTTTAGATCTAAAGTAGTCATGTAATAGATTTGAAATAACATCATCACTTGTCATCATTTTCTTATGTTAAAATATGAGGATGTAATTTAAAAGGTATGCCTTAACTGATCACGTATTTTTGTTGGAAGTGAAAAAATTTTATTTTAGATTTTTTTTTTGTATTTTAAAAATATAATTTTTTATAAAATTAATATTTTTTATAGTTTGAGATTTTTTGATGTGGTAATAGCAAAATAATTTTTAATAAATATTATTTTAATATATTTTCAAACTAAAAAAATACTTAAAACAACAATCATCACCACTCTTTTAAATACTTCATCATGAGGTTTTTGGGCTAAATGCTATTGGACCGGATTCATAAACACTATTGCATATTCGGCCCAGTATAGATATCTAGACTGGACTTATGTGACAGCGGATCTCAGCTTGGGCCCTAGGACTCCCTGCTGGCCTAATATTCACCAAGGCACGCTACCATCAATTTGACCCCCAACACGTCAACAACCCTTAATCGGACGGGATGCCCCCCTAGCCATGTAGCTCCCGATCGCATCCCCGGAGGCCATATTCTACGCCTCTCTAAGAAACATGAATGTCTCTCTCTCTCTCTCTACAATCAGTTATGACTCCTTCAGCTTCTTCTTTTTATATGCTTTCTTTAATATCAAAATCAGTAGAATTCAGTTTAATTAGAGTTTTCTTTTCTTTCTAAAAAAAGAAAATACTGTCCAACTATCAATTTAATACCTAAGCTCCCTTGTAAAAAAGGTTCGAACCAGCCATTAACTGTACTTACAGTGCACTATTGCAGGGTGTGAGGGTAGAGGATGATGCTCCTTGTAGACGTTCAACAGCTATATTAATCTTGGATGTAAAATCTACAAAAAGCCAACAGTAACATCAGAAAGACATCGTAAAAGTTGCAAAAACGGCAAAAAACTGGAAATTAGCATACCTTGAAAAGAATCATGCAAGACTACTATTACCTTGGATTGAGTTGAGAAGACAAGTAGGCTGTACATTTATATAGGAAAATAGTTGGTGCCAAGAGCAACAGGAAGCAAAGTGGTGGTGCTGGTTTCTGCGTGTAATCTATGGATGGCCATCATGCGCCAAAAAAGCTGAAATGTAGTGGTAGTCACTGTTTTTTTAGGTCTCTTTATTTTTGTATTGTATTTTAAAAGTATTTTAGAAAACATTAAAAAATTTTATTTTTTTATTTTTAGGTCATCTTGATATCATTTTAAAAAAATAAAAAATATATATTATTTTAATAAATTTTTAAATAAAAAATACTTTAAGAACCAATCACACTCTTGAAAAACAGAATTTTCTCAGTAAGATTTGCTCTTGGTGAGGTATACTTGTAACTGAAAACAGTTCCATCAATTCCGAAAAGTCGGAGAGCCATCCCGGAGAAAGAGGGCCATCAAAACCGTGTGATGGTAAAATATCGGAGTAGGCAAGCAGCTGGCATAGTTTCTTGCTAGTCATGCACAATAAGGACGTGTCAACGTAACTAAGAAAAAAAAAAAAACAAGAAGAACACATGAACGTGGGGTTCCTGGAGTCAACGTTCGATATTATCCGATCAATATGATCGGCAATTATGCTGCCGCAACTGGCCTTGTTGATGCCCCCTCGTGACTACAAACCATTACTGCCACCCATTTCTCTGCGTCACTATCTTGAACGTTATGGCACAAAGTCAGGAATGTCAAAGATCCTGGAGACTCATTTTAATTATTATGATTTAAAAAAAAAGAGTTTATAATTATGGTTTTAATAAAAAAAAATTAGAAAGATTTAAGCAAAACTATAAGGTGTATTATAACACTTTTAAAATTATAATTAAAACCACATAATTCTAACTCTATAACCTAACCGAACCTAAAAATCTAGTTGCTCGATGATACATAGTTGCAGGCGGGATCTCCTGTCAGTACGATGACTCCACGTTGAAACAAAACAGAACCTAATGAAGTGTGTTATGACACTTTTAAAATTATAATTGAAACAAAACGTAATTATAATATGTCATATTCTCTCTCCTTATAATACATATGGCACGTTATGCCCCACGTGCTAGTTTTCATGATGAGCTTTCCCCCTCATGGATGACAAAATCATACGGTGGCACATGTTTTCAATGCTTAATTCACCAATATACAATGAGAACCATAGTCGCCCACTGCAAACTAGTTGCTGGAACGATGTGCTTCGAATTTAACTTTATAGTAAAAATATATATTAAATTAATTTATAAATATATAAAAAAAAAATTTAAACAAAAAAATTAAAATTTTAAAAAATACCATGTTTATTCCTTTTATCAGTAATAAACCTAGTAATAAACCAAAATACCATGTTTATTCCTTTTTATCAGTAATAAACCTAGTAATAAACCTAGATACATGCGTGATTCATACAAAAGTAAAATGCATTAAAATATTTTTTTATATTTAAATAATTTCAACATCAATTAAATCGATTTAAAAATATATAAAAAATAATTTTAAATAAAAAAATAATTTTTTTTAAAAAAAACTTTCTTTTAGCATTGGTAAACATATATGGACATCATTCTGAGCGATCGAGGAGCGGGCGGACAGATGAGGAAATTCAGTGAGTTGATTGACAATCTTAAACTCACTGTCAATCTCTCTCCAATCTATTTTTGCGCTGGGCATGCAGGCGATTTCACTTGGTAAAGAAAATCAAAGTAAGTTGATGTTCTTCTTGTTTTCTATTGTATTGACACGGTAAAGGAATCAAAATTTCTATGAGACAGGAAACAAATGCATTTTATCCGTGTATATACGCTACAGTCTAACCTGCAGCCAATAGCCAAAGCATAATCAGAGATGATACTGCAATAGTTATCCAGCTAAAAAATGCTAATGCAACTGACATTTGGTATTTTTGGCACTCCCCCCCAAAACCACAATTCCCCAGGTCATGGAAGTAGAGCACTGTGATGCCTGCAGAAGCTGAAGCGGCCGCAAGAGACAATATTGCCGTCACCTGTATACAAAATTTCACAGATTTGCCCTGTCAGATGACAATCATACGAGGACAGGACTGATCTAGAATCGGTGATATAAGCTTTCAAGAACAATAAAAATGTTATATAGAGGCTGACCCAGTCTCCAACGACAAAAAGGCTGAGCAAGACAGTGTTGTGGAGGGCCTTCTTTTTCACCAAAGCATATGCATCTAATAGTGCTAGTCCAAAGCTCCAGATGACTTGCAGACCCATTGAAGCGATGAGGTAGCTGCATGAACAAGGAAAAAACACTGGTAATCGCAAACAAGTTAAGCCCTGTGCGTCAAGCGAATGATCAGTTTATCAAACCAAAAATATATAATATGCTGTTTAACCATTTTCCTCACAGAAGATGCTGTTATCACAGAGAGTTCAAAAATAATCCATGGCTTAAGGCTAATCATAACACAGATTGGCCTAAATATTGTTGAACAAATGGTAGGACATAGAGACAAATTCACAGTGGGAACTTAAAAATAGCAGGTGACAAGTTTATATAAAGACAGCACCAGTAAGAAGTAAACTAAGCACCACAGAAAATATGTTATTGAAATACCACAAGGCAAGTAAAACTCGAAAGCATTGCAAGAACAAAGGAACAGCAGAGAAGGAACGAGGGCTCTCAAGGTGTTTTATATAAGATAAACTGAGAGGTGCCCATAGGAGTCAACTATAACATATGCAGTCACAAACGAAGGCCTCTTCACAAAGAGCGCCATCAGTTCTCTGACTAAATTTCAACTCTGTGGAGTATGTATTTGAAGTCGGAGCACTGATCTGTCGCTAAAATTATTCATTTAAATTTCTGAAAATCATGGCTACTCAATGTTTGGATCAAAATCTTTTGCTCTAAGTCCAAAACAGTTAATAAAAAAATATAACTCTTCACAATCCATTTTCAATTTTTGCTACATAAGTTCGATCTGATGCTTGCAACACCAAGCCAACAAGTCCAAAGAAGCATTTCCCTATGAAATGTAGCTTCTACTTTTTTCTTCAGATTCTTATCATCATCATATCATTGTCAGGACCGTGTGAACCATTAAGCTTACGTTCAAGAATGCAAAATGATGTAGCTTAGGCATGTTTCAAGAATTCAATAATTTCCAAAGGCAGTGATAGATGCAGCGAACTTTTCTTTAGGAAAATAAATCACCAGCATGGAATTTTCAAGCTAAGTTTTGAGACTTTCACCCAGAGCTTCAGTACAGCATTCAATTCATTCATTTTGTTAACGGTAAACAGGAAAGGAGGTTTACTCTCCAACAGAAGCCATTGATAACAAACAAGCAATGAATTCGATGCCAGTCTGATATTCAATTCATAACTATCAGAACAAACATCTTGCAGACAATTAGCAACAACAGATCATCAAGAGAGCAACGTTGTCTTAAATCACGCCAAATTATAGATGCAAATTAATTAAATCACAGAATCCTGGATTTTTGCTACATATCGAACGCATCAAGTTCTTCTAATGAAATCATTTATTTTCTTGAAAAATCTCAAATGCGAAATGGTAAATTCCAATCCTAATTAATTAAAACCTACACGTGATGAAAAGATATCAAATAGCAACTCAAAAATAAGGTCACGGAAAGAACGATCTGAATTGGAAAAGAGCGAATAATGATATAATACCAGAAAGCAGTGAAATCGAAGAAGCTAGTAGTGGTGGTCATGGCAGTAATGGAGCCAGCTGCAAAAACACACTGCGAAAGCCTCAAAGCAAGCCCTGTCAAAGTCCCCGGAGTCCCAGCAAAATCCCTCATTATTTTTTGTTTGCCCACCAATTTCAACAACTTTCTAACCTCTTGACAGGTAAACGGAAACACCCATCTCCTCAAACCATCAAGAAACCAAAGAAAGAAAGGACCTTTAAAACTTTACAGAGGAGAGGATATCAAGAAAGAAAATGTAAAATATCTGATACCCAGACACTGAAATTGAGGACTAAAGAATTACGTGTGGGAGAGTAAAAAGGACGGTGGAAATACGGTGCAGGAAACGGATGGGAATAAAAGGAGAGAGGGAAAGATCGCAGAGGACATGAAACGAAAGAGATCGTTAAAATGGGAAAAGGTATAGAGGAAAGGGCATTGGAGGCTAAGAGGCTTGACATTTTATGATGATGATCATCACGGTCATAAAATGTTAATTACTAAAAAAACCGCTACTCAATTCCCACACCAAGTCAAACTTGATTTGCTTGCTTGCTTCTGTTACCGGCAGGATGATTGTCCGCTTTTCTTTATGAATTAACTACCAACAAACTACCCTTCATTTTTAGGATCCCTGTCAATGTTGTCCTTCATCAATATGTTATTTAACGTTTTCAAATCTACAATTTGCGCGAGTTTGGAATTCTAATTAGTATTAGGTTTTTAAAATATTTTATAAAACGATAAGAAAAAAAATTGTTCTAAGCTAAAAGTTTTTGAAACATGGAATCTAAATTAAAGGTAGATTTCAAGAAAAATAGAAAATTCGGAAACCTGGATCCCATCTAAAGTCAGAGTTACAAGAATTTTAAAAATTGATTCAATTTTTTTTTTTTTTTACCATTAACATTCTTTATTTCACTCTGTTTAGATTTTAAAACCATTAACTTTCTTTATTTCACTCTGTTTAGATTTTAAATTTGACAAATTTCTCATAATATCTGTGTTTAACGGATTTGTGAATTGATTCAAATGAAGAGTGGATTGAATTGTAGTGTTGAAAATGAATAGAGTAAAATTAAATTATTGCAAAAAAAATAAAAATTATCAACTAAGCTATCATCAAGGTTTAACTTCCTTTTTAATCATTAGAAGATAAAGATAAACATATCTTGAATTACAAGGGAAGCAACGGACAGAGGGGCTCTTTCATAAATAGTCTCTCCTCTTTATTCCTGCAGCCTTTTTTTTTTTCTTTTTTCAATTGCAGAGTCTTAAGTAGTGATGTATGGTCATGAAGATTTGAGACGAGTGATTAATTAGTGATCGTAATCCCTATACTTTTTATAGTAATGTTCTTTGTGAAAGAAGCTTTGTCGAACCACTGTAAATGTAAAATTTTACGTGCC